GTCTCGCGGGGGGGCCCCCCCCCCCCCCCCCACACACACACACACAATTCCATTCATCTCCTGCCTAATGGACTGGAACTGGGCCAGCCTGGGAATGTGAGGGGGAGAGGCAGAGAGGACAAAGGGGGACCCTGAGGTATGGGGCGTCTGGCTGGAGGGGCAGTATGGAAGGGGTGCAGGTGTCCACCAGAGGGTGGGTGGGATGAGATCCAGGAATGATGTTGGGGGCAGGATTTGGGGAGCACAGGAGAGCTCCCCCTCATGTAGGCTGTGCTTAACCCCCTATTTCTTCCCCCAGCACTGATTTTGTTGTTCTACCTGGTGTTCTACGGCTTCCTCACTGCACTTTTCACACTCACCATGTGGGTCATGCTGCAGACGGTGGACCCCTACATCCCCAAGTACCAGGACCGCCTCTCTGTGCCTGGTAAGGTCCCTGGTATAGGGAGGCACCTGGGTGGGAGGGAAGCAGCGCGCTAACCCCCCCTCACTGCTCTGGGTTCCCTGTTCACAGACATAACCCAATTGTGCCATCCTGGCAGGGTTGTGTCCTGTTGTGGAAGGGGGAAGTCCCTCCTCTTTTGGACACGTGTGTAAGCCCCCCCTTTCTGAACATATGTGGGCAAGAGCTGCACACTCGTGCATGTGCCCCTCCCATCACAGGCATCTGGATGTGTTGGTGAAATTGGGGGAGGGGCTAGAAGGGCTAGAACTGCCCCTCCAAATTGCCCCCCTCAGTATTCTCCCCCCACCACCCCTGTAGGGATGATGATCCGCCCCAAGACGGACACCCTGGACGTGACCTTCAATGTCAGCAACACGGAGACCTGGGATGATTATGTCAAGATGCTCAATGACTTCTTGGAGCGTGAGTTGGAGGCTGCAAACCCCATCTCCCCTTCTGTGGATGAACCCCAGCAGCCCTATCTGGTCAGGAGATGGGGATGGGAGGAGAGGAGATGCAGGTCCACATGGAGTTCTGGTTCCATCCAGCAAGGTGGAGGGGCTGGACGGCTTCCAGTTGTAGGTTGCCCTGAGCATGGGGAAGTGGGGTGACCCTTTGGGAGGGGAACAGGGGAAGGTGGATGGATTTGGAGGGATAGAGGAGCACTTTTTGAGGGCTAATGGGAAGAGGGGAGAGGCAGATGGCGCGTGAGGGAGAATTTCAAGCCTGGGTAGATTTGTTTTATTTTGGAAGGGATGTTTGGACTTGGGGGAGGGGAGAGCCAAATTTGAGGTAGGCACCTGGCCCTTGATCATGGCCAACCCATCCTACTGAGGATTCCCATTTAGCAACCTTCCCCCAGCATTGCATCTGGCTCTTGCAAACGGCCTCCTATATCCACATCGTGCCTTAGCCCATCTGTGCCTGATGGACCAGGGCCACAGAGAGGTAGGGTGCAGGAGAATGGCCAACTGCTGCCCCCTGGTGACCATCAACAGAGCCTGCAATCCCCATCAGGGCATGATTTAACCTGTGGAACTCTCCACCACAGTGTTTCCCTCAGAGCAGTAACTCTCACAGCCCCTCTCTTCCCCCATTCCCAAATGTTACCCTCTCCCTGCTCATCTGGGAGGGTGAATCTGGACCTCGGGTTTCGAGCAGCTAAGCAGCGTCCCAGACTGAGTTGGGAGGAGGGGGCGGGGAGTATGTCAGGAACAAATCTCATTGGTATTTTGGCTGTTGGTGGTGGGGGTAGACACACTGGTGGGTCAAAGCTCCCTCTAAGTTTTTCCATTGTTGGGCAGAATAAATTTTGTGTGCACTGAGGAATGTGCAGATGTGCTCCACCAATAGAAACGCACGCTGTCGGCTGTGAGCAGCTGTGGGCGCTCTGCTGGGTTGTACTTGAATCTCTGCTGGGTGGCTGCCATGTGCTCCGCTTGCAGGGAACGTTGCTGTGGGTGCGCTCAAAGGTGGTGAGAGGGAACAGGTGGGATACCAGGCTAGATGGGCCTGTAGCTCCTTTAATGCTAATGTGTACCCCCTTCTTCCTCCCTGTTCCCCTCCGCAGCCTACAACGACTCCATCCAGGTAGCCACCAACGATGTATGCCGCCCAGGGCGTTACAATGAGCAGCCGGACAACGGGGTTCTGAACTACCCCAAGCGGGCCTGCCAGTTCAACCGCACGTCGCTGGGCAACTGCTCCGGCCTCAGCGACCCCTCACACTATGGCTATGCCGATGGCCGCCCTTGCATCCTCATCAAGATGAACCGGGTAGGTGACGCGCAGGAGGTGGGCCTGGGCTTTGGGTTCGGAGGCCCTTCAAAAGTGCTTTTCAAAATTGGGGGGCCTCCCATATCCAGGCTGAACCCTCTTCTTACTCCTTTCAGGTCATCAACTTTTTTGCAGGGGCCAACCAGACCATGAACGTCACTTGTGCTGCGAAGGTGAGCCCCCCGCTGACCCTCTTCTTTGCTCCCACCCCTTTTCCCTCTATTGACTCTTCTTCCTTCTCGCTCTCTCCGGCTGGTCCTGCCCACAGAAACCTGTTTCCAAACTTGAGGCGGTAAGGGACATGTCTGAGTAGTGGGAGATCCCCAAATACATACCCCATCCCCAGCTTATAGCACACCTGTCCCCACCCTGTAGGAACTGGGGGAGCCCTGTGCTGAATTGATCCTCATGATTCTGGCTGCACCTCAATTTGAGATGGCCCCTTAAATGCACCTTGGGAGCAGTTAGACAGACCCCCCCCCCAAGAACTGCACTCCAATCTTGGATAATTCAACTGCTACGTGATCTGAGAGCCCTCCCAATTCCCTGCACCCCCTTAGTTCCCATCCACACAGCAGTAAATGGCTTAGCTGATCCTCCTGAAAATCTGCACCCCAATCTTAAATAAATCCCACTTGTACCACAATCTGAGCTCCCCAAAACTGCACCCCTTTTAGTTCCCAGCCAGAGCAGTAAGTGGCTTAGCTGATCTCTTCCCCTCCCTCCCCCACCATAAAATCCCCAGCATGCTGATCTTGGATAATGCCCAACAGCACCCTGATCTGACTCCCTCCCCAAATTCCCTGCACCCCCTTAGTTCCCAGAGCTGCAAATTTCCTGACTAGCAGCACCCTCTCTCTCAATCACTGATTCACTCATTTCATCTTGCTCTCCTCCGCCTTCCGGCAGCTGAACCCCGAAATGTGGCACGCAGTAAGGACAGGAAATGGGGTCTTGGGGAGAGGCTCAGGGCTTGGCAATATGCAGGCTGTTGGCTGGTGGCTAGGAAAATGAAGGAGGGGTGTACCAGAGTGAGGGGGGGGTTCTCAGGTGGGAGGGGGTTGAAATGAAGGGCAGAGTGGGTGGAGAGGGAGGCTAAGGTTGGGAGGATGGGGAGGAAGCTAGGGGAGGATTTTTTTGTCATCTCCTCCCAATGCGAATGCATGGGGGGGAAGTGGGAACAGGTTGGAGCAGTCTGGGTAAATCCTAACCTTTCCCCCTAACCCCCGCCCCCTCAGAAAGAGGAAGATGCACAGAAGCTGGGTGAGATGGCTATGTTCCCCCCTGGTGGCCACATCGACCTCATGTACTTCCCCTACTACGGCAAGAAAGTCCATGTGAGTGGGGGAATTCTGATGTCTGTCTGGGGGCAGCCTGTGCAGCATTGGGAGGCTGGGCCTGAGATCAGCTGGGGGAGTCTGTATTCTCTCCCTGGGCCTGGGAGAGAGTGGAGGCTTATGGATCACAGTGTGGGGGCTGGGAGGCAGGACTCCTGGGTTCTCTTTCCAGCTTCAGGAGGAGAATGGGGGCTGGTGGGTGAGAGCAGGACTCCTATTCTGGCCTACCCTTAACCCTGCCTCCACCTTTAGGTGAACTATACCCAGCCGATCGTGGCAGTAAAGTTTCTGAACCCAGAGGCCAACATGGACCACAACGTAGAGTGCAAGATCAATGCAGCCAACATCGCCACTACTGATGAGCGGGACAAGTTTGCTGGACGTGTGGCCTTCAAGATCCGGGTCAACAGGGACTGAGCCCCACCTTCCCCCCCCACCTCTCCTGGGGATCCATCCCCCCAGTGGGCAGGGCTTGCTGGAGGAAGAAGAACCTGTTTCCTAGGCAAAGAATGCCTGGGGCTTCACCCCTAGCATGTTCTGGGCGGGGCTTGATGGAGGAGGAGCCTATTTCATTGGCAGGGGATCCCCTGGGGAATTTTTTTGCGGTGGAGGAGGGGTTGCTTTGGAAATTGTCCTGTTGACAATCCTAGGATGACTAACCTGGCTCTTATGGCTGTTTTAGTGACCCTCCACCCCTCTTTGATTTTACCCCTCGCGCGCTCCTGAAATTTGCAGATTACACCGATGAGTCTGGTACCATCCACACACTCCCAAAAACCTTTGGAATGCTACGTTGCTTGATCTCTTCTAAAGCCCCTTTCTTC